ACACCCACGCATCGATATGTTGTTTTACAAAAAAAAGACATATATTAGTGAATTACATTAATTTTTAAAAAAATTAATCAAAATCATATATAAGACAAATATAAGACTTGCCTCCCCATCGAAATAGCCACTGTCTTCAACCCCTAATAACACACCCCACCAATACCGATTAAGCAACAAATACATCTCATCGTTGAGTTTACTTATGTCAGTGTAACACCCTTGGCTCCGCTCATGTAGATAAAAATCAACTGCGGTCTTAGCCCAAAGGATATTATCCAGAATTGTTTCCGGTAGTTGTCTCCTCTCCACTTCAGATACCGGAAGGGTACTAGCCGGTAACTCATACGAGAGCCAACTCTCATCCATCATGTCCGGCAACGGTGGGGGTTTCTCAATAATTCGATATATTACCCCATGTGAATCGGGCTTTGGAATGGTGGGAGGGACCTCTTCAACGATGACAGTGGCCTCTTGAACGGTGGAGGGGACTCTTGAGGGATGATAGGAGCCTCTTGAATGATTGGAGGGGACTCTTGAGGGATGACAGGTGAGTCGGGCTTTTTCTTGCAGAGTCTCCGCACCATTGAGGTGAACAGAGACGTAATAGCACGTGCACGCCGTCTGATGCGTGAACTCTGTCGTGCAAGGAAAACTCGACGTAAAGCATCCACCTTATCGGGCCGCTAAAAAAAATTAATACATAAATCAGTAAATAAACAGACATGATATTAAACAAAGACAAATATGTTTCAAACTTGCATTGTATTTACCCAAGTCATTATTCTATCATAGTTCACAAAATGCATCAGATAACATTCCAGAAGTAAGCACTTATATAAACATTTAAAAGGACAACATATATAAACATTCAAGAAGAAGAATAGTTTACTTTCGCAACACGAAACTTACTTTCGCAATGCGAAAATGACTATCGCAACGCGGAAATGGCTATCGCAATGCGAAATGAAAATCGCAACGACAAAATCGCAATGCGAAATGAAAATCGCAACGACAAAATCGCAATGCGAAACACAAATCACATTGCGATTTTCATTTCATGTTGCGATTTTGTCGTTGCGATTTTCATTTCGCATTGCGATTTTGTCGTTGCGATTTTCATTTCGCATTGCGATAGCCATTTCCGCGTTGCGATAGTCATTTTCGTGTTGCGAAAGTAAACTATTCTTCTTCTGTAAATTGAAACTTGAATGGATTGCATTACTTCAACCAAAAGACAAAAAAAACCAAAAACAAATACTAACAAAAACAGTTTAGCAGTATTGGCAGCAACCGAATGAATTTATTAAGCAATCTAAGTGAAATGGTTAATCTAAGTGAAATTAGGAGTAAATTTATCATCAAGTTAAATATGAAAAATCTTAAACTTACCTCGTTGCGTAGAGTATGAACCTCATTCTGCAACGATGCTACCATCTCACGTAGAGCGGCTACCTCACCGCGTAAAGTAGACACCTCAACACGCCATGCACCATCGACTTTGCGTAAAGTACCGACCTCCTCACGCAAGGCATTGACCTCATCACGTAACTCTCCTAACTTATCCCGTGGAGGTGGAGGTGGAGAACAGGGAGATAAACGTCATGGCATCTTTGCCGGTCGCCTATCTTGCGGTGATGGTGGAGAAGAGGCTCGATGATGTGATAGAATAGGTGATGGCTATCGTTGTGGAGGTGTATAGTCGGGTCGATCAGGTGATGGCTCTGGGTGAGGTGATAGCTCTGGGTGAGGTGATGGCTCCCAAAGTGGAGGCTGCTCATCATCCGTGCCATCAAAAAAACGCTTACTAGCTTGCCACCAATCAGTGGCAAGCTCAGCTTCCGTGGGTGTCAGCCTCTGTAATGGAGTGTTGGCCTCCTAACAATATAAAAGCTCAAACAAAGTTAAACGTGTACTAGTAATAACTTGTTTATAAACATATGGTAGTATTTATGTTAACTTACATTATTTATTGTCGTATACCGTAGTAAATCTTCCCATTGCAAGGTCCGTTTCCTCTTCCAGGAAATAGCCCTGGGAATATCATTTGAAGTTTTTATTGCATATGTCTTCATGGCGGGAAATGCCTCAAATATCCAAATCTACAAACAATATAATAACAAACATTAGTAATTGTTAAATAATTACTTATAATTTTGGAAACATTATATAAAAATTCTTACCTTAAAGGCCCAAATAAAGCCTGTCAAAGTGTATTTGGAACCATCGCCATGCAAACTTTTTTGATCATCCAAGGCAGACGATAACTTATTCCATGTAGCTTTCCATAAATACGAGCCCCACGGAAACAGGTTCCACGCATTTAGGTCTTCTACCAATTTGATTAGATCATTCGGAATAGGTTGTCTGGCCTCTCTGCCTAAAAAGTCGGCATGCAAAAGTATTAGAAGGCATACTCGGACAACATCGACGTCATCCATCCGAGTAAAACCATCTTTCTTATTCAATAATATCGTCAGGTCTTCCACGTGTAGATTCGGCCTCTCCAGCTCAGGAAAAACCCGGGATAACCATGATGGGCGGGTAATGTGTCTAGTGTACCGACCTACATCATCGTGTCCGAAGCGTAGACCGGTGATTAAGCAAAACTCCTCCCGCCCAAAACACGTATACGCCGGTGGAAAATCAAACCATATCTCTTCATCACGACGTTGTATAGTATCTGGTAGATCCCTAGTCATGGTTTGAAGAAACAGGTGTGTCAACATCGCATCTCCACCGGGATGTTGTACTTTCAGCCATGGCCCGAAGCAAGTATCCTCAAACATTTTTCTTTGTGTAGGTGAAAGCTTCGACGCAATTGTTTTGGCCAGGCTGACTTTATTTTTTAAGGTCAATTGAGCCGAATAAAAGTTCTACAAAAAAAATAAACATACTAAGTTAGATATACCAAAAACTACACTGTGAAGATATACCAAAAACAATAATAAACATAAAGAGTAGTAGTTTATTCTTCAAACTTAAATTTGCAACACTGTGAATTTCTTATTTGTCTTTGTTTTTTGGTTGAAGTAATGCAATTCATTCAAGTTTCAATTTGCAGAAGAAGAATAGTTTCTGAAAATGAAAATCGCAACACGAAAATGACAATCGCAACGCGAATTTGACTATCGCAACGAGAGAATAAAATCGCGTTGCGATTTTGTCGTTGCGATTTTCATTTCGCGTTGCGATTCTCGGTTGATTTAATAAGCAATCTAAGTGAAATGGTTAATCTATTATTAAAATTACCAGTAAACTTATCATCAATTTCAATATGAAAAACCTAATAATAATGCAAAAATTTCAAAAAGAAAATAATTAAAAAAACTAACCCTCGGTGGTTAATTTGGTTGATTTTCCATTTCTGATTGTGAGGGTGGCTCTGAGAGATGGAGATAGACGGATTTCGCCGGATATGGGGACGGATTTCGTCGGAGATGGGTGAGAGAGTGAGAGATGGAGATGAGACTGAGTTGTGATTTTAGGTTTTAGGTTATGAGTTGCGATTACGGGATATACTGTGGACGGTTCAGTGTTCCAATATATTAATATTCGTGTTTGAAATTTGAAAATAAAATACGCTTTGTGATACTAATGGCGCTTTGAAAATCGCATTGTGATTATGTATTATCTCGTTGCGAAAGTTAGTATTGAGTTGCGAAATTAAGTATCGAGTTGCGAAAGTCAGTATCGCGTTGCAATTTTGTATTATCGCGTTGCGATAGTCAGTATCGCGTTGCGATTTTCCAAATTCGCATTGCGATTTACTTATTCGCATTGCGAATTGGGAAAATCGCAACGCGAAATTGGAAAATCGCATTGAGATAGTCATAATCGCGTTGCGAATCTGGAAACTGATTTGCGATAATGGAGATCGCGTTGCGAATTAGCGATCGCATTGCGATTTTGTTGGTCATTTTGGCAAATCCGGAAAAAGTTGGTTAAAATCGTATACTATATGGGATTTTTGGTCACTGAGGTTATTTTCTCTAATTTAAAATATAAAATAAAAATAGAAGGTAGTCGTTCGGTCCCAAATTTCATGGGTGGATTCACCTCGACCTCCTCAGTCCGAATCTAAATTCATGGTTGTTTCACCATCAGTCCGAATCTTGACTGAAAGATTTCGACTTCCTCACTTTTGATCTTCAATTCATAAACTTCAAAGCAAATTATGGCAAAATGGAAGTCAGATTTGGCTGATGGTGTCGAGACGAAATGACACATGAAATTTGGGACCGAACGACCACATCTACGACAGACGACGATGGCTGACAGTGGTATCCGATCCCCCTTTTTTATGTTATATTTTAAATTATTTTTATATTAAATAATAATAAAAATCCATGTCATATAATAATAATAATAAAATTATTCAAATTGATCAAAATATGAGTAATTCAAAAATTCATTAAGTAAATTAAAAAAAGATTAAAAGTACAATGAAGAATGGTGTAATTTACCCTAATATATGTAGTAAGAGAAAGTGAGAAACCCTAACTCGTTAGAAACGGCTACAAACCTAACTGCGCTTCTCTTTATAAACCCAAACTCAGCCATGTAACTCTCAGCAGCCCCCAGAACAATTCATAACCTAATTTCTCTGTTTTTAATTGTTTGGCATTTTTCTTTCGAAATCGTGTTGATTGGAATGAAATTGGTCGATGATGATAAATCCAAAGGGCTTGTTTCTCAGAAACATTCGCAGTTGCCGCCTGAGAGCTTTCGCCTTTCGCCGGGCTTGAGAGCTTCTGCTGCTTAGTTCCTTCCTTGGATGTCTGAGTCTCTTACTTCATCCTCTTTTTGTTTACATATGTAATTCGCAAAATCACAATGCGTTATCCCCTTCTGTTTTATGTTTAATCGAACCAAATCATTTCTCCCCCAAAATTTCCATATCCGTGTATCATCTTTTCGGGGTTTTATTGATTTTGCTTCTTGATTTTTATTTGCTAAACGAATGTGATTAATTGAATGATTGAAGCGAGTTATATATATGTCTATGATGATAACATGGAAAGGCTTGTTTCTCAAAAACATTCGCAGTGGCCGCCTAAGAGCTTTCGCCTTTCGCCGGGCTTGAGAGTTTATGCTGCTTTATTCCTTCCTTGGATGTCTGAGACTCTTACTTCACTGTCGCCTACTACTCTCAACACTGCCACTATCTCCGGCCGCCACCTTTGTTGTGGTCTTAATACCTCTAATCCCTTTGTAACCTTATTGCCCTTGCAAAATTGAATCATTGGAGTCGGCCGCAGTAAATTAAAACTCCATTGCAAAGTTAAATACTAAATCTCTTCCAAGTTTAAATTTTTGCACCTTGCTGCTCGCTGGTAAAATGCATGGCTATGGAAATTGAAATGGGATTTCAGGGGACAGTGGATTTAAAGATGATGGAGAAGGTAATGGCTGGTCGGTGGGCAGTGATAGAGACAATGGCCAGAGATAGTTGACGGTGGCTAGTAATGGGATTAGAATGATGAATTTTAAGTAATGGGTTTAGAATGATGAATTTTAAGGGTTTTTTTTCCTTTTGTAATTTTAAGAAGATATTATAGTTTCTTTCTCTTAAAATTAACAATATTTTTAAGGATAAAATATAGTAATGGTCATTGAATTTTTTTAAAGCTTTCAGTTAGGTCCTCTAACTTTTAAAACTTACAATACAATCCTCTAACATTTTGTCCGTTTGTAATATGGTCCCTAATGTAACCGGTCTTTTTTCGTCGTTACACTGCCGTTAGTATGGTTGCAATATGATTACTAAACTTTTCAAGCGCTTGCATTTAGGTCCCCTAACTTTTAAAACTTACAACAATGTCCTCAATTTCATTCTAAATCTCAATTTCTTTTTGATTTCGAATTTCCTTTTTCGATTCTCTCTTCTCATTTCCAGCGTAACTTTTCAGTCGGGGATGCATGAGAAGTTCTAATCTAACTTTGAATTATGTTGAGGTTTGACTTGAATAAAGGTCTATTGAGAGAAGACCCGACCAATGGACTATCGGGACCATCAACGATTCAAGGTGTAATGTTAGATATAGATCATCTCAGGTGAAACATAGATGTTCGATGAAATGCTTGTGAGAAAAAATGGGGGTTAAAAATGTAGAGTTGACAAATACTACTAAGATGAACTAAGTATCATTATTGAAAGTCACCAACAAAGATGAAATTTTATTGTATAAATGACATAATAATTTATTCGTTTAATCCTTATGGTTAAAGATTTTCCAATAGATGATCAAATATAATAAAATCTCAAACAGCGCATTCACCTCTCAGTCTCTTTCGCAACTCGAAAAGCATCATGACAGGGTCAAGTAGATGCTCCAAATATACTACCCTGTCATGATGCCTTTCGAGTTGCTTGCATGCAGAATTGTCTTCTAAAGCTATAATTCAATACAATTCAACTGTAAAATTTCCAAAACATGTAAAAAAAATCTAATTCGTTCATGATATATCATTACCATAATCAACATGAACTTATTAAAAATAATACGAGCTCACAGGACGTCGAAAACCACATGTCATATCAATACAATTCCCAGTAAACTGGTACCAGCAGTCTCTCGGATTGAGCCTGACAATTTCACTATTTCGATACCCACAACCAATTCACTGATTTAAAGAAAAACCAAACAAGATCAAAAACATTTAGCCTATGACTCTCTTTCACTTCTATTCTGATGGACTGAATATCTTATGAGCATTAAAAGTTTTGATTAATAAGAAAAAAAATAAAATTAGATGGTTTTGGTTCAAAACTAATACTGAATGTCCAGATCATTGTCATGCAATTCCAGAAATATAAAAATTTCAACAAAAAAACACAATACGAGCTGAAAATGGAAAAGCGCGAAAGAGGAAAAGCTTACTTCCGGATAGCACAAAAGAAAAAATAAATATATTATTGCAAGTGAGGGGAGAGGCTAAGAAATAAACGCAATTGGTGTTGCGTTCTAACAATTCTTCTTCCATTTTTTCTTTGTAAATAAAAAGCTGAAAGACAGAGTACTGCTTGGGTTTACAATTTTACATAGTGGAAAATTGATTAACATACCACATTCATGTTCGTTCAGTTCATTTACAAGCCTATAGCACCGAGACAAGATTTCTAGCACATTCTTTTAAAGTGCTATAATGTTACTTTTAATGGGCATGTGTATTGTTTTGGTGCAACCGTAGCAAGCAAGAAAAAGAAAGAACAAACTAAAAAAAGTTGCATTCCTAGAAAGCAAGAAATTGCTTATAATATAAACATGTAAATATATATGTAAATCATTTCTTTCATTATTTTAAACCTTTCTACCATGTATACATGTATGCACTCGAATACAAAATCAGTATCTAGGGGAAAAGATAGAAGGAGTTGAACTAAAACTAAGGGGTTGTTTGTTTGCCTCTTAATAGAACCATTCAGCACTGAATATTGAACCGTTCAGCATTCAACGCGTTTGTTTCGCACCTCTGAATAATTCAGTGCTGACTGATTCAGCAAAACAGTGCTGAATGATTCAGCACAGAAGTACATTCTGAATGATTCAGAGCCATTATCAAACAGCATGTCACATTCAGAGCTAATTCATACAGAGCCTCTGAATCATTCAGTATTTGAATCATTCAACGCTTAATCATTCTGAAGTAAACAAACATCCCATAAGCTAAACCAGCTAACACTTGTTTTTACAAAATTTTCCATTAATTATGGATCGGTGGCTTTCTTGTTGCTGGAGTGTAGTCCATAGATACTAATTCATCAACACTAATATCAGTTTCTCCTTCATCTTTTGTTGATGTAACCTCTTGATGATCAATGGGTTTTTGAGTTCCCTTGGCCGCCGGTAGATTTCGTGCTGAAAAAGCAAATCAATAATGCTAATATCAAAGAACATATAAAATTAACAGAATAAAGATATATAATTAATTGATGGATTGGAGACTCGAGATGTACCTCCAGCAGTCGTGGAGATGAAGAAGAAGAGGAAAAAAGCAGCAAGAACAAGATGCTTGTAAGGGACCCTAGCCATCTTAGAGTTTGGGTGTGAACAAACATCTTGAAGTTGCCTGATCTTATATAGAAGCAAATCAACCGGTACAGGTTTTGTACACTGATGACAGACATGGATCGACAAGTGGTGCATCAGTCGAAAATGAAATCAAATTTTAGGCGAGTGAAGTGGTCTTTTAGAGTCTACATCGATGTCTCCTGCTGTCTTTGGCATTGAAAATAGTAGCACAAGGCTCGGAAAAGAGTTTCCACACAGTAATGGAGGTGCCATTTGGACTATCATATTGGTTCAAGCGCTAAGTAGTTTAATATCATATAAGCGAAGTCTTAAATTTGAGTCATTGTGTATACAGAAAATTCTAATTTGGAGACTTATCCACCAAAACTAAATATTATATCCGGGTGAATCCAGATTAGTCATGTCAAACCCTTGGAATTAGAGGGGAAAAAGCTATGGGGGAAGTAGTAATAATAAAATTCAACTTAATTATATAATTTTATATATGTTTAAGTGAAAAATTAATGGTAAGTTATACTGAAGGGACTGTTATGCCTAACTTCATTAACTATAAATCCTTAGTTTTTTATATGAAAATTTGTTCTACTCTGCGTTGTTTTATTGGTCTTGTATAGGGTTGTAAATGAACTGAGTTTGAATAAATAAAGTTGTATTGGTGTTTGTTTGTTTATTTTTTGAGTTTCTGTTTGGTTCATGTTCGTTTGTTTGGTTCGTGTTCATTTGTTTTTTTTATGTTCATGTTAGGTTAAATTTTCAGTCTCGTGTTCGTGTTTACTTATTTAGCGTTCGCAAACATATTTGTTTAATTTTTATGAATATATTCGTTTAACGTTCGAGAACATGTTCATTTAAAGTTTGTTTAATGTTAGAGAACCAACACTCTTTTTTTACCATTTTATACGCAAGCCAAAGAAAAATAAAGAAATTATACTACTAGTATCTAAGTTCATCGTGATTCACAATTTGAACTCTTAGGATCACCTTATGTATAATTTAGTCTTTATCTTGATCAATATTTAAAATATAAAAAATAAAAGAAAAATGAGAACTTAGTAAACAATTTTATAAACAATTCGATAAACGGGTCGATAAAAGAGATTATAAACGAGTCAGTAAATAGGATTATAAACGAGTTTGTTCGTAAACATAAACGAATCAAATACACTTCTATTCATATTTACTCGTTTATTAAATGAACATAAAAATTTTATTCATACTCAATAAACAAACGTTATAAAAAAATTCACGAATAATTTATCACTATGATCATCCAATAAATTTTGCTTACTCGACTTGTACGAAGAATAGGGACCAGGGAGCAGCTTCTAGCAGACTTTTGTGGACCTAATTTTCCCATGCACTAAAAGTACGACAATAATGGTTCTACTTATCTCACTTGTATTTTTTATATTTATTTAATACACATTTTAATATAAATATAAATTATAAATCTTTCATGTATATTCATAAAATATTAAGTATACCCTTCATCAATTTTTTTTATATTTTTTATTATATATATATATTAAAAATTTAAAAATTTATTCATAACGTAATATTTTACGTATATTCCTACTTTGAATAAATTATGTACATACATTGCTTCTTAGTGAAGAATGATTAGATCATAGGGAAAAACAAGTCATTAATTGATGGAGGAGAAAATTTTGACACAAATCATTTTCAGATAGGGTCGCGTACGAAAAATCACGTGAAGGGTGCTAAAATGTATCAACTCAGGGGGTCCTCCTAAAACTAAATTAAATTAAAAAAATTTAAACTAAATTAAATTAGAAAAATAAAACTCATAATCTCAATTAATCCGAATCATTTCGCTCAACTTATTAGTGAGTAGTGACCCCTACTTCAGAGGTCACCGGTGCTAGCAACCCCCCAGACCAGCAGGCCCCAGCTCCTAAAACTTTTATTAATCTTGTTTTGGCATTTTTCCTACAGCTTGAGGGATGAACGCTGCATTAAATATATCTGCTCTTTAAATCAAATCGATTTAAAATAAAAATCTGATATATTAAATTTACAATCAAGGATAGATGGAGAATGATTGAGGGTAGTCTGCCCTTTTAAAAATTT